AATCTATCCGAACCGATTTATAACCGAACCGTATCTGAACCGACTCGAAACCAAATCGAACCGAAAAATGTATAGAACCGAAATCAAATCCGAACCGGAATTTAACCGATCCGAACCGAACCGATTATAACATATAACCGAAAGATATCCGAACTGAAAAAATCCAACCCGAAACCGATCCGGTTGATCCGATTGCCACCTCTAGGTCTATTTATACAATCCTGGAGCCAAAGTCCAACTATTCTAGGTCCCGTCCCACAGGCCTCATTAGTTACATTTATCTTTTCTTTATGGGCTAAATAGCTCTAACGCCCTTTGTAGTTTGAAAAATTGGCACCAATACCCCTTCTGTTTTCAAAATTTATTTTTAAAGTTCCCGTGGTTTCAAAACATTGCACCCACACCCCCTCTGATCATTTTTCGGCCATTTTCCGGCGAAGAGGTGGCATTGACGCATAATTTCTAAACCATTGGGGGCATTCTTGCTCATTTCTTATTTTCGTTTATTATTCTTCCCTTTTTTTTTAATATTTTCTATCTCTTTTTCCTTTTCCTAGATTTTTTAAGATATATTTTCAATTTTTTATAATGTTTCAAATATTTTAAAATTCTTTGTGTTTGAAATAAAAATAGAAATAAAAAATTAACATATATTACATCTATCTCAAATTAAACATTTTCACTTTTTGTTACTTAGAATAATTTTTTGGAAAGTTAAAAAAAACCCAGAATAAAAAAAATAAAATATAGAAAATCGAAATGAAAAAAATTAAAATATGGAAAAAAAGTCTTGTACAAAAAAAATTTGGACACGCCCAAAAAAGTCCTTAGAATTGAGATGTCCGAAAAGTATATTCATTTTTATTTTTATATTATTTTGTTTCTTATTTTATTCCTCATTTTTTTGAAGTTCTAAAAAAAATTGCTTTTTATTCAGAAAAAAGTTTGTTAATTTAAGACGTACATATGCATTATATGTTAATTTTTTCAAACAAAAATAACTTTAAATTTTAAGAACATTATAAAAATATTTTTAAAAACCTTTATTAATAAATGAAACAAAAAAAGGAAAAAATGGGAAAAAATTACGAGAAATAATAATCAGCACTGATACCCCTATGGTTTAAAAAATATGCGCCAATGCCCCCCTCTTCGCCGGAAAAATGGCCAGAAATTGATCAGAGGGGACATGGGTGCAGCTTTTTAAAACCACAAGGACTTTAGAAATGAGTTTTGAAAATAGAAGGGGTATTGGTGCCTGTTTTACAAACCACGAGGGGTACCAACGCTATTAGGCCTTTCTTTATGATATACTTGATCCGTCCCTGAGTGTTTTTCCACTTTTGACTTTTGGAACTGTTCATCTAAGCACTTTGACTTATCAAATTTTCTCAATGTGTAAGCCTAAAAATAATCATGTGTGATCTTGTTTGATTCGTCTTAACATATAGATTATTAATATATAATTTTTATAATTTTTTAATATACAAATTACAAGATAAAATGGATTAAAGAAGTGCATTGGATGGTGTGTAAAAATGAAAGTGGACAAACACTAAGGGACAGAGGGAGTATCATTTTCTAAACATGACTTTCTAATAACACTTATCTCGTTGACCATGCGATAATACGTTGTCCTCTTATGACGTCCTTAGCTCTTGACCGCTGACCTTGCAATGACTCCCCAGAAGTTGACTACCAGATCCAAAGCACAATATCTTAGATGCTGACGGCGCAAAAAAAAACCGAGCGTGATGTTTGGGCGCGGCCCTCCCACTCGCCTCATGCCCGGCTGAGCGTGCATTATGAGCTGAGTGCGCCACCCATGTAACGTACCCATTCGTCATGGGCCGAACATAATACACACTCATACACTCCGTATATATTAAAAAAAGACCAAAACGGAAAAAAAAATCTAATCTACAAATTCTAATCTTTTTTATTCAGTGTGATGGTGTCAGAGTGAAAAACCAAAATAAGAGTAAAACACATACAGAGATAAAACAAAACTCTTATTTGCCACACTTGTATTCCTGAGGCAAAATATTAAGTTTTTTCAATTCATTTTATTTAATTTATATATTGGTATAGAAATAAAAAATAAAATTTACATATCAAAAAACTACATGAAAAGTTCTTCGAAATAAGAGGTGTCAAGAATATTTTATTTTATCAAATAACTAATGAAAACATAGAAATAAACAAAAATTCCCGCGACTGCTGAAAAAGCAAGTGTGACAAATATTTTAGGACATAGGGAGTATAAGATCTTTTTATTTTTATCTAAAAAATAAGACATACTCCATTATTCCGTATAAACTAATAATACTCCATTATTCCAGTGTTTGGTAACACTGGTGAAACCAATCACCAGTGTTACCAAACAAGTTACAAAAGACATGCTAATCAACAAGGTGATTCCAGCTATCCAAGAAAAGTGGCCTGCACAATTATCTAAAGACATACACATTCAACAAGATAATGCAAGGCCACACATTCAAGGACTAGACTCAGACTTTGTTGCATGCTGCAGGTAACAGTAATGGTTTTCACATCAGTCTAGGCAACCAACCCCCCAACTCCCCAGATTTAAATGTACTGGACCTTGGTTTTTTCAGAGCCATCCAGTCTTTAAAAGAGAAGTATGCTTCAACCAGTGTGGGACAGTTGTTAGAGGCTGTGGAGGGAGCCTACAATGCTCTAACTCCAGAAACTCTAAATAATGTATGGTTGACTTACCAGCAAGTATTGACTAAAGTAATGGAGCATGAAGGAGGCAATAACTATAGATTGCCACATATGGGTAAGGACAGAATGGCCAGGGCAGGGACACTACCTACTTGCTTGAACATTGATCCCGTTTTAATTGAGAAGACAAGTAGACTGCTGGGTGAACAGAATGAAATTACACATGAAGAAATGGTTCAGTTCAATACTGAAGAGGGAGAGGAGCACCTATCTTCAGAACTGAACTGATTCCAGGTTTGTTTAAGTGCAGTGGCAGTGCATGTGGGGGTTTTGAAATGGTTACCACATTCAGTTTTTTGGCTTTTGATTGTTGTTAGTGGTAGTTTGTTGGATTTTGATTTTTGAATTTTGGATTTTGCACCATGTAATGTCCTGCCATATGTATGTACTCACATTAAGGCAACAACACACTACCTGCTCTAAATGTTCCAATGCTCAATGAAATACAATAGCCAGCATATATTTCTCAAAACTAAGCCCACTTCATCATTGCTGATGTATGAATTTAACCACTCAGAAACATCCCTTAAGGGTTTAATGCTCATCATAGTAGGTTTTTTTCTCAGACAGTGCAAAAGACATTGCAGTCTTCACAGAATTTGGCCACATTCACATTACCCAATGCCATTATTACTAAAAGCATATATGTGTAACAGAAATATACACTCAGAAACATCCCCTTAAGGTTAAATGTTCATCACAGTGTCTTCATTATTCTCAGACTATGCAAAATAAATTGCAGTTTTCATAGAAATCTGATCCAACACAATTCATACAGGTAGCAATCCCATAACAGTAGCATACAGAGCAGATAAGAAATTTCAATTATCACAGCAATGTATCAACAAAGTTCACACTGGCAGGAATTAAATTCATACTCAAGCCAAGAAATATGTAAAGTGAAAGGAGGTGAAAGTCACTCCCCTACTTGTACGTTGAAGCCCAAAAGTTTGGATCTGGAGTAGGTAGTAAGATGTTAAGCATATCTATGTGGAGGTGCATGTGTGAGCAGATCACCGGAGAAGTATCACCGGAATCATCACTATCACTGTCTCCCAGGAACTCAGCCTCATCGCTACCAAGATCAAAAACATCATCTTCATCCGAGGTAAGGTCGATTACCTCCATCTCTCTGACCGGGGCAACATCGGAACCATCGTCGTCGCTGTCGATGACAATGACCTCGTTCTCCTCCTTGTCGTCAGGGATAATATCCTCGGCAATCACCTCAAAATCTTCACCTCCACCATCTTCAAATTCCGTTTCAAAAATATAAGATTCATAAAATAATTCATGCGATTCCTCTAATGAGGTAGATGAAGAGGTCATGCTGATGAAAGAGATGTAGATCTAGAGAGAGAGCAATGGATTTCGAAGAGATGAAGAAGATAAGATCTAGAAGATCAGAGATGAGTGAATGAGTGTAATTGGGTGGGAGGTGGGGAGTTAGAGAGAGAGAGAGTAATGCGTGCAGGTGTGGGGAAGTGGGATTGGTAGAGGGAGTAAATGAAAATTAAATGAGAAGGGTATTTTTGGAAGGATTGTGGGTAAAATTAGAAATGGGAAGACCGGACGAGGAAAAAGGAGAACCGGGAAGATTATTTCCGAACGGAGGGAGTATCAACATACCAAGTACTCCGTATAATACTAAAAAGTAAAGCGAACTCTGGACACTTATTTCAAAATGTCACAATTATTTTTGTGTTGGATAAAAATCTTGTTCTCTGCTGGGCGTGGTTAGGGGTGGGCGTGAAATCCGTTCCCGTTGGACCGTTCCGAAAAATCCCGGATCCGTTTTGTAATTGTACCGATATATTGGGACACATTTTTTTATCCTGAACTCATTCCGTCCCAATATCAAATGGGACATGAGCGGGACAACTAAAATTTATACCGATCCGTCCCGTTTGTCCCGTTTCATATACTCTACTAATATATAATACTAATTCTAGTTCAAAATCCAAATACACTTATTCTTTAATTAATTAGTTATTTAATTAAGTTAACTTCATAGGCATGAAATTTATTTGGACCCATTCCACTCATTGTTTTTTGTTGGATGGCTACATATTTCTTTTTTTGAATGAAATTTCACCCTCTCCCCTTCTTATACTTGCGATTTAGGACAAAATAGGACGACCCGAATCCGTCCCGTTTTATTCCGATCCTGAATTTTATGGGACAAACCGGGATAAGATTGTAATCCGAACCGTTCCGAACCGTTTATGTATAACGACACAAAACTTGGGACAACTTAAAACCCAAACCATCACAATCCGTGCAGTTACTCTTTCGTCCTTGTTGATGGCATATACTCTTTCGTCCTTGTTGGCTCGCCAGTTTTCTCTGCAACCCGGCAGCCACAGCGGTTTCCACCGGTTCCCGTCTACTAGCTGTCTCCGTCATTCCCTAAGCCTCCATAAACCTCCCCGGCGACGATTGGCTTCTAAATCCAGCAACGATGAATTTGCATCTCGTAAGTAAACGATTCCCCCAACTTTACTCTTTATTGCCCAAAATAATTCGTTTGAATTTGTTTTGTTTTTTCGTTTTTGAATTTTTTTCGTGGTTAGCGGATGATCTGTATCCTCAGGGACCTCTGAGAGTTGTAGAAACTCCAGATCCTGTTCTTAGAGCAAAGAACAGAGTGATTGGTGCAGATGAAATGTTCGACGTAATGTTTACATTGAATTTGTGCTTCCCTTTCCATGGAAACTAACTTCTTGGCCATATTTAGTGATCCATTACTGTTTATGCATCTTCTTAGGAACATTCTTTCTTTCTATGAAGATTAGTAGTTTCAAACAGAATAAAACTCCACTCACATTTGCAGGGAATTGGCACAAAGCAGATAAACCGGATTCCGATTCCGCTCCCGCACAGAACGATCCAGGATCCGAAAGGACAAGACCTGGATTTCGTCAATGTCTGTCACAGTCACCTCACCCACTCCGACTGGAAAAACCTCGAATCGTTAGCACCCATGCTTACCCCTTTCAGAGTGAAGCACGTTCTGCTGAAATCCCAGAAGGATTACGTGCTCTCCCTCGAGTTCTTCAATTGGGTAGAAGACCTCAAAGCCCCCAATTTGCAAACCCTAGAGTCCCGGTCGATCGTTCTCCATGTCCTTACCAAGAACAAGAAGTTTAAGTCCGCGGAATCAGTTGTGAGGAAGTTTCTAGAATCAGCCCCTTCAGATGTTGGTCTGCCCGGAAAGCTCTTCGATTCAGTTCTTCATACGTACAGGATGTGTGATTCTTCCCCTAGGGTTTTCGATTCCTTGTTTAAAACCTACGCGCACATGAACAAGTTCAGGAATGCCACGGATGTGTTTTGCGGCATGAGGGAATACGGGTTTCTTCCCACTGTCGAGTCTTGCAATGCTTATCTTAGCTCGTTGAGTGGGTTAAACAGGGCAGACATTGCTTTGGGGTTTTACAGGGAAATGCAGAGGTCTAAGATCTCGCCCAACATGTATACTCTGAATATGGTCATTGAAGCATTCTGTAAATCAGGGAAACTGGAAAAGGCCATTGAAGTTTTTAGAGGAATTGAGAGCATGAATTTGAAGCCCAACGTTGTGTCGTTCAACACTCTGATCGCCGGACACTGTAGCAATGGACTACTTGGTGCTGCCATGAAGCTCAAGAACGCAATGGAGAAGAGCGGGATTCCTCCAAATAATGTCACTTTTGGGACGCTGATCCATGGGCTATGCAAGGAAGGGAAAATGAACGAGGCAATTAAGCTTTTTGGTGAGATGAAGAGGGTCGGCGTGGCTCCAACCGTTGTTACTTACAACACATTAATCAATGGGTACAGCCGAGTGGGCAAAAGTGAGGTTGGTAATCAACTCTATGAAGAGATGTGGAGTAGGGGAGTGAAACCTGATATCTTGACCTACAATGCGTTGATTTTGGGGTATTCCAGGGAGGGGAAGACAAAGAAAGCCGCGCATTTGGTGAAAGAACTTGACAAGGCAGGTCTGGTTCCCAATTCGGCTACCTTCTCTGCCCTGATAACCGGACAGTGCGCAAGAAAGAACCCGGATCGCGCCTTCCAACTCCTTGGGAGTATGGTGAGGGCAGGTTGTCACCCGAACGAACGCATTTTGAGCGTGTTGGTTTCTGCCTTCTTCAAGAACGACGACTGTGATGGAGTGGTGCAAGTCTTGAAAGAGATGCAGGTGAGAGGTTTCCGAGTCGACTCGGTTGTTGTGTCTGAGATTAGGGATGGGCTATGGGAATGTGGTAAAGAGGAAGTAGCCAGCAAGGTGCTCAGGGAGATGGAAGCTAGAGGCCTCTTGCCCAAAGGTTGTGACCAAACTGGTATGAATCCTTCTATGTCTAATAGAGTGAAATGTGATTTAGACTTGACATAAAAAAAAGTGAAAAGAAGGGTAGTACAAAACTAGGAATTGTAAAGATAATCATGATGAGAGGAGAGTATATATTGTGCTTTAAAAATTTTCTTCCTCATTTGGTTTTTCTTGGTCAAAGTTTATACATTTTGACCTCAATATGTAGAAAAAATACACTTTGTTATGATATAAATTTAATATCAATAGATTTCTCTTGAAATGTAGTTTTGAAATATCAATTTTTATAAAATGTATTTGTGTATAAATGTAAATATTAATGATCAAAGTGTTATATTGATGACCCTGAAAAATTAATTGGGCAAGTGAGTGTTAATAGATTTCTCTCTATATATGTTGAATGTTGACACTACAAATTTTGTTAATCTGTGCTGCCATAATAACATGATCTTTGTTTCTTTAAGAATCAAACTTTTTTAGTTTGATTATTTTTAACAGTTGTTTGTATTCTAGCCAATTTTTTAAGTAAATAAAAGATATAATTTTAATACTAAAAGCTAGTTAAACATTCAATTTCCAAAAAAAAAAATCTACATTCACTTAAAAAATACTTCGTACATGAAACTAGTAAATTAAAAAACTAAAAAACATAGAAAAAAAACAGGCACAACCAAATCTTTTTTGAGCATGTTATGTACTCGTATTTTTCCCTGCTTCGGATCTCATCGTGTATCGTGTTACTTTCGTAGTTGGTACTTTCAATGTCCGGAAATCTATATCTCAAATACAATAAGAATTTTCTCAAATACAATAAGGATTTCTCCCCATCTTTTCTCGCTGCCTATTGAGTTTTCTTGAAATAATTCTTTATACACCTCACCAAGTGAACAAAATAATTTTTAATGACTAAAAGGTAAAAATTAAATACGCAAATTAAAATTTTGAATAAGAAATATTTTGTGATTCTAGTATTTCTGAAATATTAAGGCTTAAAATACTATAGAACTAGTTTTCTGCCCCGTGCTTCGCACGGGCTTGTTATTAGATCTCGGTTTTATGGATTTGAGATGATTCTTGAGAATTGATGGTTTGGTTGATGATTTGATTTTCTTGGGTACTTTGGTTGGACATGTGTTAAAAGGTTGTGTACGCTATGGTTATTTAAGATTTTGTAATAATAGTACATTGTATCATTTTGTTTTGTGTAATTTGATGAGGTATATTTTTTTTGAGGGTTTTGGAATTTGACGTTGGTGGTTGAATAGTTACTTTATTGTTGTGATTTTAGATGTTGTTTTTGGTATTGTGTGTTTTGGTTTGTGTATTTTGTTTGATTTTTTTATTGGGTTAAGATTAGGAATTATGTAATGAAATTAAAAGATTACATACATACACAGAGAGAGTTAGGTAGATATACAAAATAATTTGTTATGCGTAATATTGAATGGAGATTATAATGTAAATGGGTAAAGATTATTTCTGGGAGCAATATTTGGAGTGTAATTGTACTTATTGTCTACAAATCGAGTGCGTTCATTGTATATCCAAATGCATCTTTGAGAAGGACTATTGCCTGTTTAGCCGCATCTTGTTCTGCACAGTTTTTCGTCGCATTGCTGCCTATAATGGGGATTTTTTTATCCATCTTCCATAGTGGATATTTCTTTTTTTGGTTTCATGGGTGTAATGTGCCTTTTGTAGATGCAATTGTTTAAGTATATGGGAAAGTATCCTTATTATATATGTAAAAGAGGGTTACACTATGGGTGAAAGTATCCTTGTCTTCTTCTAATTTCTGCAAAATATAGTAATGTTAGGGGTTGCATAATTTAAGTTTATTGTACTTATGTGTAGACATGTTTGGATAGTTTTGTTTATTGTAGAAGTTTAATGTTTTACACCAAAATAGAGTAACGTAATGATTTTTTTGTAAATTAAAGTTTAGAATATTTTTGTAATTATGTAATTATTTTCAATGAAGGTTGAGTTTAGGTCTTGAATGTTATACGTAAGAGGGGATTAAAGTTGTGTGTTTTTTTTTTTGAAGAATGGAAAAGTTGGAGGTGGAGTAAAGAATAAAAGTAGTTTGGTATAAGGATAAGAAATGTTATGTGTAGACCAAGTTGGATACACATAGTGTTGTTGGTGGTAATATGTATGATAGACTTATCAGGAGATGTTGGTGGTCCTTCTTGTGGTTGTGTTGTTGTTGTGTTGTTTTGGTTTTCTTATGCAACTTTTGAGCGTATATTTATTTAATTATAATGGTGTGTTTAAAATGGTTGGATGTGTTATGTTACGTTTTTATATCGGTTGGTTTCTAATAGGGAATAACGGTTTTATTAATATTTTGGTATGGTATTGTAGCTTTCATTTTGTTTTAAAAAAATACGGAGTATTTGTTTTGGTATGTTTATAATGGGAATAGGTTAAGTTTTTATTTTTTATTATGTTATTTTAAGGATGACATACGTTTATTCAAGGAGTTGTCACTACTTTTTTTTTGTTTTTTTAGTTTATTTGTTCAATTGTTAATTAAAATTGCTGTATTATTTCTCTTTAGAAGAATTTGTTTTTTTGGTCAAGTTGGTCGTTTGCTTTTCAACAAATTGTAGAATAAGGATAATTTACACGTTGGCTCCATGTTTTTACACGTTTGCTTTTCATTTACACGTCGGCTCTGTCCAACATGGCATTCATTTACACGTTGGCTCCATGTCAGATACACGTGTCAACACTCCAAGCATGTAACCCTCTTTTACATATATAATAAGGATACAATATGTAGAAATCAAATGAAAAGAAAAGGAAGGGAATTGGTGGAAAAAAGTAATCGAGACTTTTCAGTTCGATACCAATTGAATTTTAAAAAACGGAGGGGGCGTTCCGAGAATCGAACTCGGGACCTCTCGCACCCAAAGCGAGAATCATACCACTAGACCAAACGCCCACGTTGCTAAACCTTCCACCGTAAAGTATTAATACAAAACCAATAACATGTAAAATGAGTGGTGTAAAGATCAGTTATGAGTGGTGTAAAGATCAATTTTTTCCTTCAAAAGATTTCAACGGACTGGGGATTCGCCATTTATAAACACGCCCCAATATAATTTAAAAAACGGGGTTTGACATTTCTTCATCTAGATTTTGTGATTATCTCTCTTTTCTAATGTTTGGTTTTTTAATGTTATTGACTCTATTACAAGGCAGTATATGTTCATATTAATTTCATTCTAATGATACACAAAGAGCCAATATTTCTGCCTCCGCTAGGACTCGAACCTTGATAAATTTCTCCATGAATCCTAGGGAGTGGACTTATTACTACTCAAGCCATGAGAGAAGTTCCTAACGTTAGGTTATTTTATACTCGATTGTCAAACGAAGCCTTTGTCAATCTTTCTTATACTATTTTACATTCTTCTTTCTACCGAAAGTCGTAATTTACTATACATTCTATAAGTACATAATTACTCCTTGTGTCTTGTACTAGATTACAAAAACATGACGTGATAAGAATATTTTATTTTATGAAAGAATCAATGAAAATACATAGATAAACAAAAGTTGTTGAAAAGTTAAAGTAAAAAAAAACAATCAATTGTAGGATGAAAGGAGTTTCATTTTATACCATTACACATGCATTCTTCTTTTCATTGAGCTCTATGATTTTTTTGTTGAATGAAAAGAAAAATTATTTATTTAAAAACTAAATCAGAAGTTTTACAAAAAAAAAGAAAATCACAAGACTATATTATTTTATCACACGCGAACAACTTTAATTGAGACAAAGAGTACAACTTTTTACGTACATGATAAGTTTTAAATGTATAAGTTTTTTTAAAATGTACAAGTTTAATATTTAAATTTTTTACTTATAATCAAATAAGCACAATATTTGGATTCTTGAGGGCAAAGCTCAACCAAGACATAGCAATGTCATTGCTAAATCGCAATTCGCAAACACATGGATTCAATTGGAATGTCTTGGTACTCTCCCACCGTTTTGATTTATGTGTTCATTTGATCTGTTCTTTTAGGTACTCAATAGACCAAGCTTCAATCTTTAGATTTTCATTTTATAAAGGTTAGTTAATCTATAATTTTACAAAATTATCCAAAAAATTGATGCAAATTGGAAATATTGCTTACCAGATGTACACATTCCTTCATGTTTTAAATGTGCCAAAAGGAGTCAAATGACACTTAAAAGAGAACATTGTTTTGATTTACATGGTTGTTTGATTTGTTCTTTTAGGTACCCTAAAAACCAAGTGCCCATTTGAGAGCAACTATAACCTTTTAGATTTGCCATTTTATAAAAGTTATCTAGTCGTAACATTTAACTTTAAAATGTTCAAAGTTAAAATTTCATCATCTCGGATGGATCTCTAAACTGTCTGTGCTTCTTTAATTAATGAAGTAGCAGTTAGTTAAGCAATGCAACTTTCGACGTTGAGCCGGGGGTCTCTTTGGAAACAGCCTCTCTACTTTCGAGTAGGGGCAAGGTCTGCGTACACACACCCTCCCCAGACCCTACTTTTGTGGGATTTAACTGGGTTGTTGTTGTTGTTGTTCAAAGTTACTCCCTCCGCCCCACTCTTTTTATCCACTTTCATTTTTGCACACCATCCAATGCATTTCTTTAATTCATTTTATCTTGTAATTTGTATATTAAAAAATTATAAAAATTATATATTAATAATCTATATGTTAAGATAAATCAAACAAGATCACACATGACTATTTTTAGACTTACACATTGAGAGAATTTGATGAGTCAAAGTTCTTATATGAACAGTTCCAAAAGTCAAAACTGGACAAAAAGAGTGGGACGGAGGTAGTAATATGTAATATTACACTTACCGTCCCAAATTAAGGGGGGTGTATAGAATAGAGATTCTGTAGGATTTTTTTGGATTTTAAAAGTCTGTAGGTATTCAATTGAGATTTTAAAAAATCATTTAAAATCTGTAGGTATTCAACAGAGATTTTAAAAAATCTTTCAAAATCTAATGATATTGAAAAAGTTATAGATTTTGAAGGATTGTTATAAAATATGGATTGTGAAGGATTTTAGACTTAAAGTATAAATAGAAATTTGGTTTTCAAATCCAACCAAAAGCCTAGGGATTTTGAGTCGGCTGAAATCTACGGATCTTTTTCTCTTCTTCCGGCATAGTTCTTCATCTTCTCCGGTCATCCCCTCCCTCAATCTCCCCCTTTGAGGATGACAGTGGCGCTGGGAATCGGGAATCAAGAACGACGGTGGCACCAGGCCGAAGACCGGGGGAAGATCGGGAAACCGGGGGATTTTCCTCCATCTTCAACACCTCTTGTTGGAAATTGAGGATGACGGCCGGTGGCGCCGGCCTAAGGTTTTGACCACTTGGACGGTGGCCGTTCTCTGAACCGTCACGAGACACCGGTAGATTATCTATAAAATTGAAGAGTGAGAAAAGAGGGGGGGAGAAGAAGAAGATAGATTGAGAGATTAGACGCAGCCACGCAGGAGAAAGAAGGTGGAGAAGAAGAAGGAAGGAGGAGGGAGGAAGAGGAAAAGAACAGATCTGTGAAAAAAAAGAAGAAAGAGAGGAGATTTGGGCGGAGATAAAGGAAAGAATGAATGAAAAAGGATAAAGAAAAAATAATTTGTAGATAATAAATAATCATAGAAAATCCTATAAAATCCTGTTGAAAAATACACCAAAATCTACCTAATTCTACACAGACTTAAAACAATTCATTGATTTTATATAATCCATAGATTTTAAATAATCTATTAAAATCTTTTAAAATCTGAATTGAATACACCCCTCTAAATTACATACGGAGTATTTACCATCCTCAGAGTCAAACTTCATTAATTTTCTCCCTTTTTTCAATAGTCATTTGATAAAATAAAATAATCATATAACCACTAATTTTATAAATATTTTGATATAGTATTTTAATACCTCGTCCGTTCTCAAAAACACTTCATCTTTTATTTTACCTCCAACAAAATACTTTTATTTTCTATTAAAATACCACTTTTGCCCTAACTTTTTCATACCCTACCTATCATATCATATTTTTTCTCTAATAATCTATTCATCATATTTTACTTTTATTCATCACATCTGGAGAAAAATTGAAAATCAACTACAATTTCACACTTCCTTATTTTTATACTTGGTCAAAATAGAAAAAAATTTTTAGAACGGAGAGAGTATGTAATTTCTAATTTTATATTCTACACCATTTTTCATAAAAACTAATTTGAAAATAATTTTGGTCAGATATAGTAAACCAAAATAGACAATATAAATTGGGACGGAGGGAGTACAAAATTATCCAAAATACTAATATGGTAATTGAAAACATTGTAAAATGGCAAATTCTACAGCCTACATTTCAAAGTCTGGACAAATTACATCTATAAGAAGATGAGAAACAGGGGGTCTCTTCCTCTATAGCAGAAACTTGAATAGAAGCAATTATTAACTTTTTTTTCCTGTGACACTTCTTACAGCTATATATGGAGAAAGAAAGAAGAAGAATGAGAGGGGAGCGAAACGGGAAAATTGCGACCAGGACCATGACCGTGCTTCATCCCAGTAAAAATTAATTAATTACCGTTCTTCAAGCTGTTTTAGGCTTGGGCTTGATGCGTTTAACCCTCGAATACAGGAAGACTCCAGCAAGGGCCACACCCGTTCCTGCAAAGACGTGATGAAAATGTCATATATTAGGCAGTGTCCCGTTCAACTTAGTTTTCTGCTTATTACTTGTCCTTATTATAGTCAGATCAGACCATATCAAAAACAAATTTAATTATAACTGCAATCAGATCAGACCAGACTACATCTTCAAAAAATCAGATCAGATCAGGCAAACACAACCTTACTCACTCTGTCCCAAAAAACGACTCCCATTTTTTTATTGGGACGTCTAGAAAAAAAATCATATTTTCATTTTTGGCAAATTTTGTGTGGCCCAACATTTCTCACTCCTCCACGTCACTTTCAAACACATAATTGTACTTTCAAACCCAACTAGGAGGCTTTTTTTGGACGAAGGGGGTACTATTGTATTTAGCTATACAGGCAACCTAAACACACATTTGGTTAGAGACTACGGCTCACGAGAAATGGGTTGGACTAACCCGAGCTAGAAGTGAGGCTTGAAATCTGCAAGTGGCGGGTTGAAGTAGGTCCTAAGGTTAGGAAACAATAGGTGATCACCCATGATCACCCCTATGTCCCTATGATCATGGGTCATGTTTCCATGACTTCTAGGTGGGAGGCAGTTCCCCATGATTGGTTAGCCTCTTGATCACATTAAGTGTAGTTTCTTCTAGGCTGGAGAAGGGATCTCACTTATGAAATACAAATGGCCTTATATTGCTTCATCTTTCTTTGTACTATTCACAAGCTATATTCCCTTAATGGTATTACGTCATAATTCTGATGGATTCAGTCCTGTTACTACTATAATAGAATCAGCTAAAAATGAAGAAATAAAACTAGTTTTTTTTTTGGGGGGGGGGGTAGAACTTGTGAAAAGTAAACCGGAGTAAAAAATGGGGTCACATGTATAAAGTTTAAAAAAATCAAATGGGTGGGAGTAATACCAAGAGCATTGATTGTTGTTACGGGAGTACGGAAGAAGAGAACAGATGTGACAATAACCACCACTCGCTTCACGCAGTTACCAACAGAATGGGTGACTGGAGATACTCTTTGCAATATCATGTAAGATACCTGGAAAAAGAAATGCTTTTGTTAGCTTTTTTGTGATTATGTACACCATCATCGTAATGATAGAAATTTGCAAGAAAAGCCTCTATGAATTTTAACATTTTCCCAATACGATGATATTTATCAACTAATATGGCACAAACATTATTGCAATAGCATTAATGACTTCTCATTTCTATGCTTCATTTTAAAGTACATGTGCTTCTCTCCCTCTAAAAATGACTTGTTCTTTGAAAATAAGCAATCCAAAATTCACTTTAAATTTGCATGAGCAATGCATTAAAGAGATGGGAGTATAAAAAGCAATTCCGGAAAAAAAGAAAAAGAGAAATAGGTCGTGATGTCATTTAGAAGTACCTGAAAGAGCATTCTATATTAGAACATGACAATAATTAGTGTTACAAACAAATCAATGTTTATGGCCATAATTCCACCATGTGGCTCTGCATAGACTGCCAATGGCGGCTTGTAAAAAATCCACAGACCATTCCAACATGGCATTCAACAGCACTGAATATGACTAGGGAATAAGACTAATTTTCTGAAACATGTACAGTACAGTTTTCTTTTAAATCAAGTAACTCAGCAGGTTTGTGAAACTTGAGAAAGATTCTATTTTACTTGTGTATATTTGAATTTTGACATCGTCTTTTACGAACAAAAACTAAAAGAAAACCACAGACTAATTAAATCATACGGATGTACTAGTGCACCAAAAATAGATTCTCTAACAGCAGCGGTCAAGGACTACCTGTTGATAGGCATGGAAGCAGAGAGCCGCAATAAGAGACCTAGTGTACACCTGGTTGACATTCAGCCCCTGACATAGAACCAGGAAAAAACATAGTCTCATGTGGTCCTCATATCATACATTCAAAAGTCATAAGTTCAAACTGAAGCATGTAATCCAGTAATGGAAAAGGTCCCCCAACAAGAAATGAATATCTGGATAAGTTAGTAAAAAATTAAAGATTTCCTATTCAGAACTACTTACAACAGATTGCAGGTATGCAGGTGTGAACTTGACTCCTTCCGAGTACAGAGTAAATGGGGCCAACAAGAAAAAGGACATGATTGTAATTATAGAGAAGAGAGTAATGTTGTCCAACGATTCCTATATAAAATGCAATATGTAGGTCAGAAACTGACTTGACATGTAAAAGGAACAAACCTACATTACAAAAGGCTGAAGGGAACAAATCACCTCTTTCTTGATCATAAACTTTTTGCTAAGAACATTGCGAGATTGGTTGGTCAAATTAGATGCCATGGCACTCCAAAAGCCAGCCCTAGTAGTAAAGCATAAGATATGCATTCAAACAAGTGATTTATAGAACCCTAAAACCTTTCGAAAAGCAAAGATTAAATGAATGGGCGAATAATACAATTACACAAATGTTCAAAAGGCAGGCAGATATAAGCATGGACAAAGCACAGAACACGAGAAACAGAAGGATCTAAATGTCTCACCAATTAAAAGAGGGCTCAGTCATTGAGGCCAATGCCACTCCACCAACGATGGGAAGAAGAGAAGACACAACCCAAAGAGTAGGGAACTGCATTGTTATTGCCAGTCAGTACAGAAAAAAGTAAACTTGAGAACAGTCAGACAAACATTATTTGGAATGAATGGTAATAATAGAAATCCATGCCAATTTACCACACATTATTAAGAAGAAAATACCATAATTGTTAAACAGAAAAAATGCATAAAATGGCACACACACCTCGCCTAAAAACATAGCCGAGAGGAGAACAGAGAAGAAGGGCTCCGAAGCTTTAATTGTATGAGTGAAGGAAACAGCAACTTTTCCAAGACTCATATTGGTAAAAAGGTTTCCTAGGGTGTGCACCACTGCTAAAGGGAGGATTGCTGCAAGCTGTCAGTGAAAGAAGTGAAGTAAGAGTCTGTCTATCAAGCATCTTCAAAGAAAACAATCGAATTAAACAAGTTCGTTCTCGTTCAATATCAAGATATACCTGTGCACCACTGATTTTAGGTCGCTTGTAGAGATTCAAACCCCACATGAGAGTAACAAGGACCGAGCCAACAGCAAATTGAACAAGAGTAACTGTTACTGGATAATGGAAGGCTTTTAGGACCTACAAACATTAAGATTCATTATAAACACTCCACATTTCCAGAATCGATAGATACAGAGCATAAATTACTGCAAAAGTCAACAATATTTGGATCACCAACCTATTCATTGTATATAAACATAGAACATTAGTTGTCCAATTGCATCAAATGAATATGAACGAACGCTCAAAGAGAAGGAAAAAAACATATGCATCAACGGATCAACAGATCGGAGAAATTTATGACAGAGAAATGTATTACCTGTTTGTTATAGATATTGAAGTAGATATTAAACAGGTACCATAGCCCGAAGAGGGATCCAAGCACCAGCGTGTCCATCAAGCCCTTTGACTGCGAAGCTTCTCCGGCGCTCTCTGGTACAGAGGTAGCACGGACCTCAACACCGCCCGATTCGCGTTCCTGAGCAGGCAGCGGGGTCGAAATCCACCCATCCCGGCTCAGTTTCGGCGCCGAGGAGGTGCAATCCGACGAGCATCGAATCGGACTCAGCCTCCGAGCAGCGATGGCGGAGCCAATGCGCAACGGCTGCGTCTCCGCTCTGGCCGGAGAGAGGGAGATGGGATCGAACCGGAAAAATGACGACGAGCCGCGCTTCCCGGGAAGCGAAATCGGCGGAGAGAACGAGATCGCCGAGCTCTGCATCCTCTCGAATCGGGCGACGGAAAATGCAGAGGGAGGGGGGAGAAATGCGATATACTAAGGAGGCTGTGGCCTATAGATACACGGCGCGGTGTATGTATAGGTGGGCGGCGCTTCGGGAGCTCCGTCGACTACGGAGGGGGTGGGTGGCGGAGTGAGGGGAGGAAAGAGATTCGTCGTCTTTGTGACATTTGTAGCGATGGGTTATTACTGTGATTTCGTTGGAAATGCAGGGGTAGTTATGGAAATCTGAGGGCTATTTGAAATGTCATCTTCCCGGCGTGGTAGTTGGAAACAACTGAGAAACGGGTGGCGGGCCAGACGGCCAATTTGGGTTGGCCCGTAGGGTCTAAAAGAGGCCTTTTATGATGGGTGGTTTTGTTTGAAAGAATAAGGCCCATTTTGAAATTATCGTTAGAATGGATTGAGAGAGGTAGAGGTAGGGCGAAGTAATATATAACAGTTAGTTTGTTTGGGGAAAAATTTGAAAAAGGTAAGAGGAGGTGGAGGGAGGTAATCTAACTTCTGAACTGTGTGTAATCCGCGATCAAACTAGGTTAATTTTTTGTTTTTCATCAGCAGATCACACCTTCTTCATCTCTAGCGCTACACCTTTTTTTTCTGTTTTGGACCAAAAACAGTTGAGTCATACGACACTTGAGTTGAACCACATTAAAAGATTAAATTCAATCGATTACTAAATTCAACTCAAGAGCTTATATACCTATTACTTTTTTCACATTTTTCCGATGTGGGATACTCTTTAACATTCTCCCTCAAGTGGATGACCAGACCAATTTGAATCTAACCGGTTGACCACTTACAAATTAACTCTCATCTCCTTGATTTGTTTTTGGATCGCCATCACCTAAAGGACTACGAGTCGCTGACTATGGACTTTCAGATGAAGACACTATTTACAAAATCAAACTTAATTTACTTTATTTGTTTATTTTTACTATTTATTTCATAAAAGAATATAGTGTTGTCACCTTTAGTTTTGTAGATTTTTCATGTAGTTTATTGCTACATAGATTTTATATTAAAATTTTATGCCTATATTCAAATAAATTGAATTGAAAATAAAATCGATCAAGCCTTATAACGCGCAATGAGAAGATCTTAGGTGGACCGAAGGAGTATTATTTTCTTACAACTTACTTTTTCTGATATGGAATATTCTTTAATACAAATAGAACCAAAGTATCCAATCACAAAAAGAGAGGAGGAAATACAGTTAATAAAAAGGAAAGAGAGAGAGAGTGGGGATGCTGCACGCATCCGCCCCTGCTAATTCCCATCGCGATTCACGGTCGTTCGCCGTTCGATTTCGACCCCCAAATCGCCTGACTGCCGCCGTGCCGCGCCACTGCCGCCAGCTCGCCGCCAATCTTCCGGTCCACAATTCGTCGCAGCCTCTCACCTCTTGCCACCACGGCACCACCGCTTCTCCTCCAAGCCTCCAATTAAAAGGCAAGTATTTGCAATTTTTCAAATACTTTTGAATCATAGGATTTAGTATTGCGTGATTTGGTTTTCGGTTTATTTCAGTGTTTTCCTGCTGCGGAGTTATTGTTATGAATTGAATTCATTTTTAATTTATTCATTATGTATATTTGATTTAATTCTTATGTAGTAGTATTTTTGTTGTGTTAAATTGTAAAATGTAAAATGCGTAATTAATATTTATTTCTCAAATTAGGAATTCCAGTGCAAATGTATTTTTGAAAAACAACCAAGATTTGAAATAACATTACTTTTATGCCATTTTATTATTGATCATAAAATGCCCATTATTTGTATAACACTCCCTGCTCGACGAAATGCCCAGCAGAGTTTTCTCCTTGTTTTCCCAAAACATTTTCACAAATCTTCTCTATACCTCAGATTCACCACATAATTCTGCAATGATTTTGTGTTTTTTTAATCGTTTGTTCTTCCATTCTCTTTGGTTGTTTCAAGAACAGAGATTGATACCCGGATCGTATTCTTGAAGTGTTCACCTGAGCCCAAAGCTCAAACAACCAAGAAAGAAGATCTAAAGGATTCCACCTTCATCATGCTAGGAGCTCCCAATCACACAGAAATCATTGTGATTCGCCACGGCGAAACCGAATGGAACAAGGAAGGAAGAATCCAGGGGCACTTGGATGTGGAGCTGAATGAGATTGGGAGAGAGCAAGCGCGTGCCGTGGCCAATAGACTTTCAAGGGAGCCAAAGATCTCCGCCGTGTATTCCTCAGACTTGAAGCGAGCTCTTGAGACCGCGGAGACAATAGCCCAATATTGTGGAGGTCTTGAGGTCGCGAAAGACCCCGGTTTGCGCGAAAGGCATTTGGGTGAAATCCAAGGCCTCCTCTACTCCGAAGTGTCCAAATCTAAAACCAATGCCAAGGCGTACCGCGCAATGGTCTCTCACAGAGACGATTCAGAAATCCCTGGCGGTGGGGAAAGTCTAGACCAGCTCCGCCATCGCTGCGCGTCTTCCCTGAGGAGGATCGCGAAGAGCCACAGAGGGGAGAGAGTGGTGGTGGTTTCTCATGGGGGAACTATTAGGGCACTTTATAGGCTCGCTTCTTCGACGAATGGGCACTCGGTTGGTAAGATCCTAAACACATCTGTGAGTATATTTCACTTCTCTGATGATGATGATGGTGGTGAGGAATGGACAATCAAGTGTTGGGGTGATGTGAGCCATCTTGAAGATGCTGGGTATTTGAAGTCTGGGTTCGGCGGCGACAAAAACTCTGGGTAGGTCGATGGAATGAAGGGTAAAAATCGATTTTAACACCAGAGTTTGGCACCACGTGTTTCGGATACGGACAGACAATTACCGTCTCGGCATAGAACCCAGATAATAATTGTTTGTACATGTCTGTACATCACGTCGTGTCAAACTTCGATGGCAAATTTGTTGTCAAACTTTGGTGTCAAATTTGGTGGGATTATAGCATGGCCAAAGCAATAAATTGGCATGAATTTGGAATTTGGATTGAGCTGCCAACACAATTATAGTATATAAATGTGTTATCTTTTGAGTGTATGAATGATGGTGCACTTTTCTTTCGTTGTTTGTTTGAACACGATATGTCATAAAGAATTATTTTCACATTTTATTTTAAAATTGTGTATGAGGAGGGTATATTTACCACTTCTAAAATTGGTGAGGGTATTTTACCCTCTCATTTACCTCTTCTATTAGAGTGTAACTTTTATGAAAAAAGGAAAAAAAGTGGCAGTTGGTCTTGGTGTTTATAGGGTTTTGGAACATGCTATGCTTACATATGAAGATTTTATAAGCATATAAATTTTCAAATATTTTTTTAATAATGCCTCCGCTATATTAAAAGAAATGCTAGAGTCACAAACACAAGAATAAAAAATAAACAAATTTAGTCTTAATCACATGTAACCTTTAAACATGTACTGTACATTCTTCACTTCTTCAGGCACTCTCCTTCATACAATAATTCAACATAGTCGGTTTGATCACTGCATGAAAAACATTCCCTTTTAGATTTGTCGATATCATCTTTCTGCAAAAAGACACACAAACCCATCTTCCGCTTTGTCTATGCAGCACCGGTACAATGTACAATATCTCATTTACCTCACCATAGGCTAGACTGATGGATATGAGGTAGAGAAATTTGTCTCTTTTAAGTATGAGACATGAAATGATCTACACTTTTAGAACTGACTCCCCATCCAATGCTCTATATTTTTACTTCTAATTCACTCATCTTACCATTGAAATAACATTTCACGTACGTACACGGGGTTAGTCTTGTTCAATGTAAAAACTTTGGCCAAAGTTTGTTCTCCAACCCCTCCATCCCTATTAACTTACTCTCGACTAGGGCTAGACACGATACCAGTTCAGTTCTGATTTTGGTTCTGGGAACAATGGAATATCCTGCTTTGTCAAGGCAGGAGACAGAAATAATATTCCTGCTAGGAAGAGGTAAATTATAGGTTCCGACGGCCAACGCATTGACAACTGCTCCATTGCCGACTCTAAGCTGAACCTCTCCCTCAGTCAACTGTCTCACCTCATGCAGATCCTGCATAGAAGTATAGATGTGAGAACCACATCCAGTGTCAATCACCCAAGCGGTGAAATCAGACATGTTGACTTCAATAACGTAAATACCTGAGGTGACGGGATGTTTGCCCGCTTTCCTCTCTGCCATAAGCTTTGCGCAGTTGCGCCTCCATTGGCCTTTCTTGCCACAATGGTAACAGACAACAGCTACTTTCTTCTTCTTCTTCTGGGCTCCCGCTTTGTCTGCGCAGAGAGGCTGGAACTAGGCTTAGGGTTTTTGGACCCCTTGCCTCTTTTCCCAACCGGCGGACGTGACCCACCTCCCTTTGCCAGTGCACCGTCCTCCACCATCAGGACGGGTTTTGCCTTTCCTCTCCCAAGACTCTCCTCAGCGGTGGTGAGGAATTTCAACAGCTCAGCCAAGGTCATGTCGAGTTTGTTCATATAGAAATTCACGACAGTTTGACCATACTCTGCTGGCAATGCTCCCAAAATGAGATCAGTTGCTAGCAGTGGGTGCAAAGGGCCAGTTTTCCAAGCATTTCAATCATGCCGATTAGCTTGAGAACGAACGGGCCAACTGGAGATCCCGATGCCAGCTTGCTGGAAAACAGAGTCTTAGAGATCTTGAAGCGTTCATGCCTAGCCTGACCTTGGTAAAGGTCTCTCAAGCGCTGCATCATGGTGCGCGCTTCCATGTCATTGTGGAGCCTTTGGAGCTCTGGGATCATGCTGGCCAGGATGATGCACTTCACGTCACGCTTGTCGTCCTCGTACTTCTGGTAAGAAGCGAGTTCGGCAGCGCGTGCGTTCGCCACGGGTGCATTTGAAGGCTCTTTATCAAGGATATAGAGCTTCCTTTCCAGTTCAAGAACAATTCGGAGATTTAACTCCCAGTCAATAAAGTTTTCCCCGGAGAGTTTTTGGCTCTCGAGGATATAACGCAGGTTGATTGAATGACTATTCGTGTTGTTGGATGCCATCTAGAGAATGAGATTGCAAACTAGGTTATCTATCATGTTGAATAATTAATTAGGCCTTTAATTAATTATTTCCCACTATTTAACAAACCAACAACCCTCAATGTTGATTCGGCCAAGTTATTTTTTCTTTGGACACCTTTTGAGATATAATCTTTTTTGACTTTTTGTAATATTGCTCCTAAATTGAGGGCTAATAGTATACTTTCACAATCATATATCTTTCTTGTCGATTTTCTCCATTTGTTTGAGCGGTAGAAAGCTCCCATAGGATTTATGGGGAAGTTCATCCAGGTTCGAACTTCAGTAGAGGCAATATTGACTATTTGTGCATTATTAGGTTAAAAATAATATGAAATAGAATTAATATCATTCAAAAAAATACATTTTCTTGTCAGAGTCAATATATGACACAGGTCGACACTAATGTGACGTTTGTCAATTAGAATAGATGTTTATTAAAGCTATAGTCTACAGAATGTCGGGATCATATTATACAACCACAGTCCGTCAAACCGACATCATAACACGTCACTAGACATAAGGTCGATATGAAAATACTTTTTTAGCTTTCAATTTAACACCAACATGACAGAAGTGAAAAAAATAACTTTCCATGAAAATGTAGTCATAAAAAAAAGACCACAGATGTAATATTTGACAAAAGACTACTAAATATAACTTTTTTTGTTTATTAATTTCTTTTTCACTTTCTTTTTTGAGATGTCCAAAAACTTTTTTCTTGTTTCTTATTTTGGCAATTTTTTGATGAATATATGATTATACCTTCATTTTTTTCAACATTATTCATTTTATTCCATTTTACTTGAAGTCCTTGTACTTTTATTTTTTTTAATTTACGTATTAAGTCAAATTGGAATTATTTTTTGGACAAATGGAGTAAATTTTTTTTGAGTAAATTCCATAATTGGTCCATTATAACAGGGAGGTTTCCATATTTAGTCCTCTATTATCAAATATTACCCCGCAGTCCTTTTTTTAAGGGTGCCTTTCCACAAATGGTCCTTTTTTGATTTTCTGCCAAGTTGGTGTTAATTTAAAGGCTAAAACCATAATTTGATATCAATATTATGTCTAGTAACGTGTTCTGATATTGGTTAAGCGAATAACACAAAAAAAATGACTATGATTGTGGACTAGAATTCAAACGAAAGACCACATTTGTAGACTTGGTTGTAGTAGAAAGCGACTGTAATTCACAAACGATGCAAATGGAACAACCTTTGGAATTGTGTATGACAAAAAAGATATATTATCATTGTGAAATTACACTTTTAGCCCTCAAATTAACACAAACATGATTGAAGATCAAAAAAAGGACTATTTGTGGAAAGATACCCATAAATGAAAGACTACTGGGATAATATTTGATAATAGATGACTAAATAAGGAAACCCCTGTTATAAAGTACCAATTATGGAATTTACTCTTTTTTTGAATAACGAATTATAAAACTTAAGGGTGAAATACGAAAATAGGACTTTAATAGCCTTATAATACTCAAAATAGCAGTGCTATTAGTTTTTGGGATGAATTCTCGTTTTTGTCCTTAAATAAACTCTCAAAATTAGAATTATACTGCAATGTATACTCTTCAATGCCACATTATAAATAAGTATGAAATTCTCTGCTCTTCACTGCCACAATATGTTTAAGATTGAATTTAGTGCCCTAACACATACAACACTGCAAAAAAAAAGAGCAGAATTCATTTTAAGCCGTGACCTTTTATTTTTTTATGGTAATTATACACTGCAATATATATACTCTCTACACCGCCACAATATGTACTTCCAAAAATTCAATGTCTGAAATACATTGCCACAATATATACACTGTCAAAAATTCAATGTCTGAAATACACTGCCACAATATATACACTATCACAATATATCTACACTGCCACAAAACACAATAATTAAAACTAAAAATACAGCGAAATCCGAATAAAAGGATGTGAGACAAAATTTTAACATTTAATCTTCACACTGCCCACACCATAACACCTAATCTTCACACTGCCAAAATCATAATGCCTTTCAAAAGACCTAATTTTTCAAAAGGGACAAATACTTGGTATTTCAAAATTGATTTCACAACATAAACCTAATCTTCAATACGAAGAAAACACAATAATTAATACTAAAAATACAGAGAAATCCGAATAAAAGGATGAAGGAAAGAAAATTAAAAATTGAAGGAGAAGAGAAAATGATTAGCGACATCAAAGATTAACATGGGAGAGAACCTGATGATTGCCGCTGCTGATCGGCCAAGACATCGTGGGCGAAGGACTGAGGACGCATCATCGCCGGCGAACGGAAGGAGAGACCGTGGAGTTCAATAGCGTGCGGGAGAACGGAAGGAAAGATTGGAGTTGAATGCCGTAATTTTTAATGAAAAAAAAGAAAAAGGGGTAAAGGGTATGATAGGAAAGGATTGACACCATAAATTGCTAAATTTGTTAAAAACAATGAGTAGTGCTAAATGCGTAATTTAGGGTGAGTTAGAGTGGGGGTTTCTTAAAACTTAGGCCCCGTTCCGTTCAACTTATTTTTTCTGCTTTTTTCTTAATCTTATTAAAATCAGATCAGATCAGATCTAATCAGATCAGATCAGATCAGAACCAATCAGATCAGATCCAATCAGATCAGATCAAATCTAATTAGATCAGATCTAATCAGATCAGGTCCAATCAGATCTAATTAGATCAGATCCAAATAAGAATTATTATTATTATTATTGTTATTATTGTTATTATTATTATTATTATTACTACTACTACTACTGTTATTATCATTATCAATATCTTTATTACTCCTTACTTTTTAAATTCAATATTTTTTAGTTGTTTCACTTGATACGTTTCTTTTAAAAAATAAATTTAATTCTATTTAAAAGATATAAGAAGAAAGAACATGAAACTTTTTGTGTGATTATAATTTATGTAGACTAAAATAAATGATATGAAGCACAATTGTTTTCTTAAAAATGAAAAATAATAAACTTTAGAAACAAGCTAAATAGAAACCCGAGAAAGTAATCTTTAATTATTAATGAAAAATGTATTATTTCTTTGCTTAACATTGATAATATAAGGATGTGATCTTTTAATAAATATATT